CCGCCGCCGCCCTCGCCGCCCTCGCCGAGCCCGCCGCCGCCCTCGCCGCCTCCGCCGTCGCCTCCGCCGCCCTCGCCACCACCTCCGTCGCCGCCGCCGCCCTCGCCACCACCTCCGTCGCCGCCGCCGCCCTCGCCGCCGCCCCCCTCGCCGCCGCCGCCCTCGCCGCCCTCGCCGAGCCCGCCGCCGCCCTCGCCGCCTCCGCCGTCGCCTCGGGCGACGAGTGATCGCTGGGAACATTGGGTGTAGTGGTGCCAGAGTGATTGCAAAAAACCGTCCCGACATTGACGCCCGATAGCAGTGGCGGCGACGTAGTCCGTAGAAGGTAGAACCGCCACAAGGCAATTTTTCGGTGTGCCGCAGGCGCCCTCTGGGGGGAGGCGGGGGCCCCCGGAGGCACCGTGCGCCGCGCAGCAGTGCGGAAACGGGGCCCCGGCGCTCATACTCGCTCATACTACCGACTTCCCGATCTAACCCGGTCTAACAGAGCCGCTCTGACAGAGGGCAGATTTGGAGAGATCTCGAGGAGTACATACAGGTAGACCCTCCAACCATAAGAAAACTCCGACCTGATCGGTCGTACTGACCGCCGACAGATCACTCCGGACAGCAGACAGGCCGACGTCTGCACGCGGCCGGCCGGGCGAGAGGCTGCATGGTTGGTGGGACATAAAAGAGAGCGAGTACTTGGGCGAGTAGGCCGTGCGGTCAACGCTGCCGCGCGCGACTTTGCGCGCGAGGCGGCGCAGCTTGAGAACGGCGGTGGGCGAGAAGCCGCCGCCGAACGTCTCGTGGAGCAGCAGGTTGAAGTTGTTGCGCTTGACAAAGATCGCGTTTTGTTTCGTGTTTGAGAGAGATTTTTAGCAATACCAAACAACTCTAACACTCACACGTCATTTGGGGCCTGGAGCCCTGTTCACGCGCGCGCGAGACGTGCAGACAGGGTTTTGTTTTCGTGTTTGTGCCTCCTCCTTTGCTGTCCCATCTCCTCATCTCTTTCCCGCCTGGGCGGGGCAGCGGCTGGCGCGCGGTGCATGCCGCGTTATGCGTGTGTTGTGACTGCGACAGGGGACCGCGCTCGAAAGGGACCATTGGGCTTGTATTATGAACAACGAAGGCGCTCTCAAAGAAAAAGAAAAGATACAAGCAGGCGTGACACTTGGCTGTCGCCTTGCACCTTACCACCTTGGTCGGCATGGTCCTCTCGCCGAAGCTGATCGCCTGCGACGCGGTGCTGTTCTCGTCTTTCATCGGTCTCCTCGCCGTCGTGTCCGCTGCGCCGGTCGAGCCGTCCGAGTTCGTGGCGGAGATGGCTGCCAAACCAGCCGAATTTGCGGAGCAGGTCGCGGCGGCTGCCCCCGAGGTGCCTGCAGCCTTCCTGCAGGCCGAGCCACGGGCGACCGAGGACCTGCCATGCGACATCCCGACCATCATCGGCGACTATGCCGGTGCGCCTCCCAACCGCGTGCCCTCGCGCTCTGCTGGCTGAAGCGCTCTCCGCCTTCCGCAGGCGCAGTCCCGGTCTTTTTCAACTATGTCTGGAACTGCAAGCAGGAGACCAACGTCTGCATCTTTCTGGGCATCCAGGCACCTCCGCCTGCTGCACCACCGCAGAGCCCGTCCTTGCTCGTCACCACCACCACCGCCGCCCGACTCAGCCCACCCCTGCCGCCATCGAGCGTCCGCCGCCCTCAAGCGCCGCGCCGCCCTCCCACCCGCGCTGCAGGACGCCGCCTCTGTCCTCGACGACTGCACGCGAGACACTGTCGGCCCACTGATCACGCAAGCCGGCGACGGTCTCTGGGGAGCATTCGGCTCGCTGTGCGTCTGACCGAGACGCTCTCGTGCGGCACGCCGCGGGACGGGGCCCCGCATATGCGGACCCATAGCATATGCTACGGTAGCATATGCGCGGCAGCGCCCATCTCTCTCAGCCGTCGTGTGTACAGTCT